TGCTTGAAGGAGAACAAGCACCAGCAAGAACACCAACCTCAGGGGCTGCAGGCCCCATGGGGGGAGCGCTCGACTGAGGCAGGTGACGGCCAAAATGGCCGAATGGATCCGAGGGGCGGTTCGGAGCAGAGCGAGGGGCGTGGTGGCGGAACGTACTCCTCCCTGCGGGGCCGCAACAGCATCGCTGGAGGAGCGCATTCCTACCCTCACGCCCTCGCTGCGCCCAAACACGCCTAGCAGCCATAGCAGCGTCGGTGCAGACTGTCTGCGGCGGCGTACCTCGGCCACGCGAAGGCCCCCCCTCCAAGAAGGCGGGCGCCAAGGGCATCTTCAGTCCTTCTTGGGCACCGCCTTCGGGGCCTTGGGAGCACCCTGAGATTTGAAGGGGGGCTTTGAGACCTTGGGCTGCTTGGGCTGATGAGGTGGATGCTTGGGGAGCGCGACGGCGCGCTCGGCGTCGAGGCGCGCCCGAAATGCTTGCAGCTCCTTCATGTATTCGCCCTGCGCCGACAGCCAGCGAGGATCCACTAGGGGTGAAAACGGGGTCTGGGCCTCGCGCTCCGTGTGACGACTGGTCACGCGACACGGGGGAGGCTCCAGCCCCGTGAGGAACCAAGCGGCCTCGAGGTAGCCGCGGTCCCCCGCCAACTGGTCGATGAACATGCACTGGCAAGTCAGCAAGGTCTGGACCCTCTCGGGGTTGCCCTCCTCGCAGGCCCGCCACAGCTCGGCGCTGAGGAAGGCAAAATGCGTCAACAACTCGTGCGTCGACGGCTGAGCCCCGAGGGGGCTGTGCTCGCGAAAGTACTGATGCATGGCCATGGGGGTCACGGCGCTGACTTCCACGCCCAGAACGCGGGCCAAATTCTCCCTCATCAGTCCTCGCACGTCGGGGCCGTGCTGCATCAGCGCTTGCTGCCACTCGCGCCTCCGAGCGATTCCCCCCATCTGAGCCGATGCGTGCGCGGGGTCGCCCGAGGTCGCGGGCGGAGTTTGAGCTTGGTCGCTCAGGGTCCCCAGAAGCGGGTGGAAGGCTGGGCGATGGCCCCGCCCCTGCTGCAAGGAAAGGGACTGGTGCAGGCACTGAAGCATGAGGCTGAAGTCCGTCGGATTGGCCGCAAGGGGCGGCTCTAACCCGTCGGCGCCGCCCACCTCGGCAAAGCCGTCGACCGCAGCGGGATAGGCTAGCCCAGGCGGCGGCGGGGGGCCCATCGGTCCGAAAGCGGACGAAGGGGCCCGAGGGACAGCAGAAGAGCGCGCCTTCTCCCACGCCGAGACCAGCGCGGAGGTGGGTCCCTTGGGGCGCGCGGAGACCCGATGAGGGGCCACGGGTGCGTGGGACAAGACGGCCTCGATCCCCGCAGGATCCAGCCCGAGGCGCGCCGCCTCGTCGCTGAAAAGCTGAGGCACCTCGGGCCGAGCGCTCCGGGCAGCCGGAGCGGGGCCCAGCGGTTCGGGTCCGCCGACCATCGTGGAGGCCGCGTGGGCTGCAAGCAAGGCGCGCATTTCGGCAGCTACCTCGGCGCGGGTCATGGGAGCCCCGTCGTCCAGAGACGCCGCAGGAGCGCCAGGAGCAATCGGAGCAGGACCCGCGACCCGTGGCGGCGCGGCGGCGCCAGCGCGCTTGGCGGGCGGGCCGCGCGGCGCTCCAGCGACCGCGGGGGCTCGCGCACTTGGGGCCGCGCGGTCGGCTTCCCCGTCGGCCGCGAACCCCTCGGGCTCCTCCATCTCGTCGGCAGAGTGGTAGGGGGTAGCCCGATCGGCCCCTGGGAGAGGCTCTTCCCCTGCGGTAGGCGGGGCGCCGTGCAAACGAGCGTAGCCCTCGCGAAGCACCCGAACCCCCGAAGGATGCGGCCAATAGACGCGGCTGCGCACCTCGGCGAAGGGAACGATGCCTGCGTCGTCGCCGACCTCTAGAGGGTACAGCGACTCGAGCTCGAGCTCGGCAACCTCGATATCTATAACGAGGACGGATGCGGTAGTGGCGAGCGGCCGTGAAGCGGCCCCCTGGAGCTGGACGTCCACTAGCTGGAAGGGGCCTATCATCCCAGCAAAGCCATCCGCCTCGGCAGCCTCGAGCTCCGCTGTAGAGCGAAAGGCACCAGGCAGGGCCAGCAGGATGCCCCCTTCTCGAGAGGCGAGGGGGATAGCCGCCCAGCTGGTGTCGCCGTCGTCTAGGCGCCATCGTGCGTAGTCGCGCGCCGTGGGCGCAGCGAAAGGGTAGAGCTCGGGCCAAAGGGGCCCTCCGCCAACTGGTGGCAGCTCCGCCATCAGTGGGCGCCGCCGTGGACGCCGCCGCCCGCACGCTGGGCGTCTGCCCGCTCGAGCGCTTGAGGTCGAGGCGGAGCCCCGTAGGCCAGCGCTCGCGCCGCACGGCGGTCCTGCTCAGGTGAAGCAGAAACCGCGCCGCGCGGCCAGGCGAAGGGCCAGAGCCTCCGCCACACGTACGGGCCCAGCAGCCCGAGGCAGCAGCCCGCGCAGGCGCTGCAGGCGGCCGTCACCCAGAGGAGGGCGGCGACCGTGCTGAGCAGCCAGGGAGAGACCCCGCCGCTCAGGTCCACCGCCAGCCCGAGGCAGACGGTGGGGCAGGTGGAACCCGCCGAAGGGAGAGGGCAGGAGGCCCCCTCGCCCTCGGACGAGTCCGCCTGCAGGATGGACCAGGCAGGAGCTGGAGGCCCCTGGTCCTGAAGCACAGAGAGGGGGGCAGCCACGAGCCGCTCGTAGAGCGCGGCCCGCAGCCCCCTGAACAAAATCTCCCCAGCGCCCTGGAGAGCCGCTTGTGCGACCGCCTGCATAAGGCGCCCGCACGCGCGGCCGACGGGGGGCACTTGGGCAGAGAAGCTGCGGAGACAGCAGGAGCTTGCTCACAGAGAATAGAAGAGGCATGCTGATGATGATGATGATGATGATGATGATGATTATGATGATGATGATGGTGATGGTGATGGTGATGGTGATGGTGATGGTGATGATGATGATGACGATGATGATGATGGTGATGATGATGATGATGATGATGATGATGATGATGATGATGATGATGATGATGATGATGATGATTTTGATGGGAGGAGGGAGGAGAGGGAGGATGGAGGAGGGTGAGGAGGAGGAATGAGTGAGTGAGTGGAACGCGGGGCGCTGTGTCTCCAAAACGAGGACCCAACACCACAAGATGATTGGGACATGCTCGAACAACATCAAAAATGGTCTAAACATCGTCCCCAGACTATTGTTGTACTATTTTTGAATATTCCTCCTGTGGAGGGGCGTGCCCGACTAAGGGAATAACCAGGAAGGAGGAGGAAGGGCGGAGGGCGGCAGGGTAGGGAGGAGGGAGCGCCGGCAGGGGCACTTCAGGGAGTGCCGAAACCCGCCGCTTTTTTAAGCTCACGGGAGCCACGCGAGTGGCACGGCCCATCAGTGCCGTTTGCAGCCCTGCTTACCCACGCCGGTCCTCCTCCAGTCCTCCTCCCCAGGGGGGGGGTCCCAGGGGAGAGTCCTTTTCCTCCTCCTCCTCCTCATCCTCCTCCTCCTTCTCTCCGCCTCTTCCTCCTCCTCCTCCTCCTTCTCCTCCTCCTCCCCATCCTGCTCGTCGTCGATGTCTTTCAGGGTCGGCGGCACTGGCCAGCAGGCCTTCACAATAACGTTACAGTTAAACAAATGGATCTCACTCCAAGCGTAAGAGGTGGATCTCATTTAAGGAACGTTCAAGCTAAGAAATGGATCACTTAAGCAATAATCCAGGTCCAGATGCACGACGATTCTACAACAAAGCAAGCTTCAAGAATTCGCCCAGGGTCCTACCAAAATCATCGACTTTCTGAAACGGAGTCTAGAGTTCATGGAAACGAATGTTTTGTTATACAGATTTCCAATGGGTGTATATCTTGTCTTGTCATGAGAGCTGAGCTCACGGCAGACTTGCGTCGCCATGACGTCGGCGTCGGTCCTCTTTCCTCAATGGATTGTGCTTCCTTGAGCTGCAGCTGTTGTCGCACGAGCACGCAACAGGGTGAAAATGCAATGCGCGGGTGACGCGGGAACAATGGTTGCACAGGTGCTCAACTCACTGACACTCGTGCCCGTCGGTCGGAAGGAGTGGGTAGACACGTGAAGTAGGAAAGCGTTGGAAGCAATTTGGGCTTCCGCCCGCCCCCTGAAGAGAAAGGACGAGGTGAAACCACTAAGTTGTTGAAGTAGGAAGGCGCCTAAAGTAGTTCGGGATCCGAACATCCAAACATACATGCTTCCAACGACCGACGTGCATCGTTAGGCCATACGGCCTCGGATCTCGACCGCTTCCTCGGGGCCACCTTGTTGCCTGGGTCTCTTTTGTGGAAGGCCCAAGGGCTGGGAAACGGCCTCTCCAGAGCCGGAAAACTTCACATAGCCAGCCGCAGGCAACGAACAATCAAGAGGGAAATGAAACAGAACGGCAGGCAAAAGAGCATGAAAGGAGAAAAGAAAGAACGAGGAGGATGGCGACAAGCCCTGAGATCCAGCGTTGCGAGCAACACTGCGACATCGTGAGAAATCACGACCAGAGCCCCACACCCCATCCTTCTGCGGCACTGTTCGAGCCGAACCGATCTGTGATGGCCCCAGGGCCCCAAACCTGGCGAAAACGCCAATGCGTGTGTGAAAAATTGGAGCGCTCTCATCTCAGGGAGGGAGCACGAGAAAGAGTATGAAAGAGGCGAGAAACGGAAAAGGAATCAAAACATGGGGGCCCGCAGATAGCAACATGGGGGGGGGGGGGGGGCCCCCAAACCCGAGCGCGCAAGCTGCCGCTGTCGCATCTCTTTCAGCGATCGGGGGGCCCCAGTGCGCCCGCACCAAAAGTCACCCCGGCGGCGAAAGGTCACTCTGGCGTGTAGCCGAAGCACACGGGCGTGCTTCCATCCTCCTCCTCTCCTCCTCCTCTTCCTCCTCCTCCTCCTCGACCTCCTCCTCCTCCTCCTCCTCCTCCTCCTCCTCCTCGCCGAACCGCACGGGCAGGCCTCCATCTCCTCCGCACCCGGCCCGCCACCGCGGCGCGCGGCGCCACCATGGGCGCGCCCCGCGGCCGCCGGAGACGCCGCGGGGAAGCCCAGGGGGGGGAGGGGAAGGGGAGGGGGGCGCGGGGGGCGCTTTTTCGACCTCGAGCTCCTGCTCCTCCTACTCGCCCTCCTCCTCCTCCTCCTCCTCCTCTTCCTCCTCCTCCTCCTCCTCCTCCTCCTCCTCCTTTTGACCTCGACCTCCTCCTCGACCTCCTCCTTCTCCTCCTCCTCCGCCTCCTCCTTCTCCTCCTCGACCCCCTCCTCCTCCACCTCCTCTCCACCTCATCCCTCTCCTCCTCCTCCAACATTTTTACCTTGGGCCAACCTTAGGTTTCTGTGTCCTCCTCCCCCCTCCTCCTCCTCCTCCTCCTCCTCCTCCTCCTCCTCATCCTCCTCCTCCCCCTCTTCCTCCTCCTCCTCCTCCTCCTCCTCCTCCTCCTCCTCCTCCTCCCCCTCTTCCTCCTCCTCCTCCCTCCTCCTCCTCCTCTCCTCCTCCTCCTCCTCCTCCTTCTTCCTTCTCCTCCTCCTCCTCCTCCTCCTCCTCCTCCTCTTCCTCCTCCTCCTCCTCCTCCTCCTCCTCCTCCTCCTCCTCCTCCTCCTCCTCCGCCTCATCATCCCCTCGGGGCCCGGGGGGGGGGGTCGCGGGCCGGGGGCTCTTCACGACGGACCGCCCGCGGCAGCCCTACGGCAGGACGCCCAATACGATGTTTCGACGACGACGACGACCCCCCCTCCTTCTACGCCGTTCTGTGCTCTAAGACCCGGCCGTTGCAGAAGGAATACGTTTTGTGGGCGCTGGGAAGGGGGGCGTGCGATGCAAGGGGAAGTGGGGTCTGAACCAGGGGTGGAGTGGGGGGCGAAGTTGCAAGGGGGAGGGTTCGAACTGGGGGTGGGGACCACACACCTTTCACAAGGGGGAAAGGGGGATCGAACAGGCCCGGATTGAGCCCGCCCTGCGCCAGGGCCTCGCAGTGCCAAACACGGAACTTCGCCGCGGAACTGACGATCCGTAAGTCCTGGAACTCCGAAGGGTAGCCGAAGTCCCGCTGCAAACCGTGCAAGTTGTCGGGGACGCACCACCGAAATGGGCTGCGCACCAGTAGCCGTAGGATCTGCACCGCGGTGATCGACCAATCTCTTGGAAGCGTCTCCAGCTGCAACAGGAAGCCCAGCGTGGAGACAACGTACACCCTGTGCACGACTGCTGCGAGCTGCAACCCGAGCTCGATTGAAGACCACAGACGGGCCCGCCCGATGGCTTTCTCTATCTTTGCCTGCCACGACCGTTCCCCGCTTCTTGGCCCCAATAAGAAACCGAGGTATTGCGCCCAGTACTGGCATTGCGTCTGTCCCCAGGAAGGGGAGGAGGCCCACAACTCTTGTGCCACCTGATCCGAGGGGGCCGGCGCCTAGAGGCACCACCACCACCACCTTGCGGAAGTTCAGCTGCAGCCCAGAAAGCATTGCGAACTGGCTGAAGAGCACCAGCGCGGGGAGGGCCGCCGCCTAGTTGGGCAGCGCGGAGACCAAGTCGTCTGCGCAGGCGCGCACCGTCGCGGCAGGCTGCTAGCGGCCGAGCCTCCTTAGCAGCGGATCCACAGCGGACAGCCCTGCCGAGTCCCCGCGCTGATTCTGAAGCATTGGCGCAGCTGCCCGCAGGCCGACAGGCGGCACCCAAGCCCCCAGTTAAGGCCCGCCACGAAGCGGCAGAGCGAGAGCGGCAGCCCCCACCCGCGCAGAGTTCGAAGCAGGAAATCGTGTGAGAGAGACGGGCACGCGGCCTGAAGATCGCAGAAGACAGCCGCAGCCCCCTTATCTCGCACAGCAACCTCCCGCGTCGCCGAGTCGACGTCTGTCACGTTTTTCATCGTAGAGCGCCCGGCCAGGAAACCCTGCTGCATCGACGAGATAGCGCGCTCCAAGATTGCCTCAATTCTGGGCCGCATGGCGTTGGCTATTCGGCCGAATGACGTTCTCTGCCCTCGTGTACCCCACCCCCGATGCAGACATCATCGGCTGCTTCTTCGGCAGGAGCACCTTAATCGCCTTGTTGAGCTCGGATTGCCCGTCGCCGTTGAAGGGGGACGTCGCCTTCAGCGCCGCTTGCCCGCGCGTCGGTCTCGAGGAGCTCCGCAGCGTCGAAAAGTGCATCGCACGCCAAAAGCCTAAAGATGCGCCAAACTGCGTACGGGATGCCGTCGGGCACCTGGGACGAGCGTGAAGTGCGAGCGATTGCACGTTCAACGTCGTGCTTACTGATCCGCCAATGGTCGGAATTCTCCAGATGTGGCCGCAGCGCCGCCGTCAGCCCGTCGGGCGCCCCTCCGTGCCCGCGGAGCCACTGCTCGATATCTGCTGCGCTGCATGCCAATGGCGCTCCGCAAACACCTCGCCCCAGCGTCGACGAAGAATGCGTGCGACCTCCTCTTCTGGGGCGGCCTGCACAGAGCCGTCGGCATCTTCCAATGCCATAGCCGTCGCCGAACGCCCCGGGGCCAGCTTCCGGACCCGCTGCAAGATGGACGAGCGCCGGCGCTGGGCGAGCTCCGGGTCGAGGTCCCGGAGGTCCGCGAAGCTCCTCGAGGTCGGCGCGGGTCGCCTGCCTGGCCAGATCCGCTGCGAGCCGTCGGAAGATCGCCGCTGCGGCGCCCGGCTCCTGGTCCACCACCTGCTGCTCCAGCCAATTCCCAATCGCCGGGCTGCGCGCCGAGGAATGGGGAACCCAAAGCCAGCGTCGGTGCCTCGAGGCGTCGGAGGGCGCCCAGCGCCGCGCCTGGCTCGCCGCGCCATGTGTTCCCCATTTCGCGGCGCGCGGACCGGCAGCTATAATAAGTTTATAGGAGGGTTGGATCGGCCCCGGCTGTGATGCTATCATAGTGAACTCAAGCAATAGTAACATCCAATTGGACTTCTGATTGGTCCGGGATCTAAGTCGCTATAGGATGACTCCACCCGAATGGGATCGAGCCCGACCAGGATGCCATTAAACTTGAAACCAACTATTGCAGGTTCTTATGGGAACTGGACCGAGCCGTTGTAGGGCTCTATTCAGGAGTACGGGGGGGGGCCAGGGCGGGGGTTCCTGGGCGGCAAACGCGGGCATAGGTTCTCGTCGTCAGCGCTGCTCGCTGAGGAGAGGGCGGCGGGCACGAGGATTTCGGGTACCTGGCGGGGCCCCGGGGCTGGCCAAGATCGCGGCCCCCCCCTTTGTGCTGCCGATGGGTCACCTCATCGGCCAGCGCACGCATCCGCGTCCACGGCCGCGCCCGCTGGGCCCCTGAGCCGCGGCCCCGTGGACGCGGGGAGGTCGTCGGCGGATGCCCCGCGCAGACCGCGTCCACGCGAGCGCAATTTCACGAGATCGCGCCCCAGGATCCAGACCGCCAGGGCGTGGATGCTGTTTAGCGTGGACATGGACGTTCGGAGGAGGAGGAGGAGGAGGAGGAGGGAGGAGATTAGATTGGGTTAGACTCTGCGCTGCGCGCTCAATCCAATCTATCTCAGGGCATTGACCTGCTTGGCCAACTTCGCGCGGCCTGGGGCTCGTCCTTTCTCGAGCGCCCTGAGATACTGCAGGCCCGCGCGCGTGGGGGCCTGGCATTCCGAAACGAGCTTGCCCGTGGAGCGGTAGTGGTCGGTCCCGAGCCCGCCACACCTCGAGCAAGCGAAAATGCGCTCCTTCACCGTTCCCGCCCCCGCCTCCCACCAACGCATAGTATGAGAGGGATGCGCAGAGAGGCCTCTCCGACTCGGCCCCACCTCCCGCGGGGCACTCGAAGCAGGGCCAACAATGAGAGCGGGGTTGCACGGGGAGCGGAGCCACTTAATTACAGCACCCTTTCCCCTTGAGGGAGGCCCCGGGGAACATTTACGACAACGCCACTGCCTACGCAAGCGACCCTCGACCCTGGAGCATTCCAGGTGGGCCGTGCAGGGATTCTCCGAGGCCAAATCCAGCTTCTTCCTGATAGGTCCCTGGGCGGCAGCTCTGGAAACCTCTCCCTCTGGGCGGTACGAAGGCATCGAAACTAAAATGCCAGACAAACGGGCGCGGATGGCCTTGGCCTCCGCCTCGAGCTCCAGGAGAGAATCTGCTGCCGCGCTCGGGACCTGCGCGGCTGGAGAGAACCTGTCAGCCAGCTTGTCAGCCAGCTCGTTGAATTGAAACAAAGCCTTCAAAACATCTGACGCTCGCTCGAACTCGGAAGCGGTCGCGCGGCTAGCGACCTTGACCACGAGGACGTCTCGGGCCCCCCAGAGCTCTCGGACGAGGTGCCAGAGGCCCCGATTCGTCTCAGGCCTCCAATGGGCCTTCGAGCGCAGACAGAACGCACCTCGCTGGACGTAGGCGCTGTCAGTGACATAGGTCAGGTCCTTGCCTGGGGTAGCCAAAAGGGCCTCCTTGAGGGCAAACAACTCACCTCGGTTGATTCCCTAACGCGGGCCAGGGAGGGCCCCTCCAAAAGCTCCAGGAGCACATAAACGCAGATGCACCTCCCTGGGATCAGCCCCGAAGGCAACAGAGACAACTGCCCAGGTGATACGACGCAGCTTAGCGCGACTAGAGTGCTTCCCTCCAGACGCGCCCCCGCTCAGCCAAACCCTCCCGTCCATGAGAAGGGCCCCCAGGAGGTTGTGCGGGATCGCACCTGGCACTGGGAGGCTTGGCGGGTCGATCCGCGGGTCTAGCTGGATGTGTAAATTGTCTGGCGGCTCTGGGACAGCCGTCCATTCTCCGGGGATGAGGCCTCGGAGCCAATAGCACGGATGCGACTGAGCTCCTTGAGCTGCTTGGTCTTTTAAATGCTGCGTGCCGGCGCAGCGGGGAATGTCATTATTGGGAATACAGGTCCAGCGGCGGTGAAGGTCAGTCTCGGGTTCAACCTCGCAACGCGGATACAATATAGAGTCGACCTTCACCCCCGCCTTGGAGAGCCGAGCTTTGGGCCAGAAGCCTGCCGTCATGACCGTGCTGAGGGAACCTCGAAACTTGTTGGATCCCTTCCTGGCTAAAGCACGCATCATTTTTAACATACCCGTGGTTTCGGCTCCCTGCTCCAGCCCCTTCCCCCATTATAATGCATAGAAGCGTGTGCCCAGACGGAGAGCCTCAAGGCGTCTA